GATATGGTTTTTCAACTTTGTTGCCCGGGTGGAAAATCTGGAGAAAGGTGGGATTCTCCCGGAAAAATCGGGAGGGTTGGCATGTATGGTTGTGTCAACATCACTAACCTTGTCAAACACCTCAGAGTAAATCATATCACAGAATATGACGAGCGTATGTTGAGGCGAACTGAAGAGGAAGAGGGACAGGTGCAGCTAGGGCGAGACAGACGTCTCTCACGGAGTCCTTTAGTGCTGCAGGCAGGCAAGGTGTTCAAATAGCGCACAACTTTAGTTTTTTTATTTCTATATGATGAACTCTGCATTTTTAAGTGATAAGAACAAGTAATCTGATGTCCTGTAATCATTATGACGCTATAATTTGAGATACAATAAATAAAATACGTTTTTGTACAAAATATCGGTATCGGATCAGTATCGTCGATACCACCCTGAATATTACTTGGCATCGGATTGGAAAGGAAATCAGTGGTATCGCACATCACTAGTTTTTATAAGTCGTGTTTGACTCTATACTTTTCTGAATAGTTACTGGGATACTTAGAACTCGAATTGCACTGCTGGAAATAGTTTATTTTGATGCACATGCTGTTTTCTTTACAAATTTGCATCACAGGATTGTTTTTCGTTTTTCCTGCAGTATATAAAAATTGCTGTATCTCCAAAATAAAACTATGCAGACACTCAAAATAAATTTCCTGTTGTTGTAAACTATTTTTTGTATTTAAAGTTTTCAGGAATAAACCTCTTAAATTTCTCCAAGTAGTAATATATGTAAAAAAAACAAAAACGATTTATTGCACTTTTTTGCAATTAATGTAGTTACTATGGACTTAATGCATACATATTATTAAAATATGGGCTATAACAGTTGTATTGATGTATAGCAACTTGAAATGCTCCCACAAATGGCACTACAACATGTAAAAAAATAATATAAGCTCTGTCGGACTTGGTTCTATGGTAGGTCTTAAAGGGTTAAATAAATATCGTCAAATAATTGAGATCTCAATTTCAGTGAAAATAATCGTGATTATCATTTTTGCCATAATCAAGCAGCCCTATTCAAGATGACTATATAAGGTACTCCAAAAAATTAAGAAAGACAAAAACATCAGTAACTTATCTTCATTGCACAGGTAAATGTATCATGGAATCATGTTCAACAAACTCTGAGTTTAAAAATAAACTAAGTTGATTAACCCTGAGATCGGCGACTCTGAGTTTCATTTTTCAGAATAGCTGAAAAATATAAGTTCAGTCATCTCTGAGTATGTTCACATTGGCCATGTTCCAAAAGTCCTATCTCCTATTCCTAACCTTCTCTCCTGGAAAAGTCGTTTGGAGAACTGATAGCGAAAGAAGTGAAAGAGTGTTGAAACTACAATGTACAGACAAAACATGCATCTTACTTCGCCACAATGTTTTCTTTTATGATTATATAAATGAGAACAGCCTGTGTCATGTCATTAAAAAGGCTGGAATGTTAAAAAAAGAACATTTAGGGTCTAGAGTTACTACAGTCTGCAGCAGTTGAAAGCCTTGTAAAAAATAAATAAATAAATAACATTAAAAAAATGTTGGATTTACAGTGGCTTGCAAAAGTATTCGGCCCCCTTGAACTTTTCCACATTTTGTCACATTACAGCCACAAACATGAATCAGTGTTATTGGAATTCCACGTGAAAGACCAATGCAAAGTGGGGTACATGTGAGAAGTGGAACGAAAATCATACATGATTCCAAACATTTTTTACAAATAAATAACTGAAAAGTG